CAATGGGGCTTTAAAATGAAGATATGTGGTTGTTTTTAAATAGGTTCTGAATTTATAAATATTATTTAGACTCTCTTTCAATAAACCTTATGGCACATATGTTAGGAAAACCTCAAGGGGCTACTACATTCTTTCGTTTGCCTGATTGCTGGATAAGAGTCAGTGTTCATCCACATGGTCCTGCGACATTTTTTCTAGGTTTTCTTTAAGCAAATGCTGAGACTGTTTCCAAAATCCTAGTTGGTTTCGCGTGATTCTCGTGTAACGCTCCCGATTTCAATTATTCAGAATAATCTACCTGCTCTGAAAGCTACAAATTTACTAAAAATAAATAGAAACGTTGATTAGCTGAGCGACTTTCGGTTTGAGAACAGGTTCTCTGTGGAAGGCGTTAGTAGGGAGGAAAACACGTAGGATTTGGCAGGTCTCGAACCCGGGATATTTTTCACCAAAGGCCATGAGATGCAATTCAAAATTATTACATAATGAATATGACACGTTTTGGTACACGCAGTCCAAAAGCACTACAGAGCCCCGTCTTCTTCGTTGTGCATATTTTTTCAGCTTCTCGATTATTGATAAGCTTTTGAATGTCGTAGAAAAAGAGAAAAAAGCCCGCAATAAAAATTCTGCTCACACTAATTTAGTGCATTGTTTTTTCTTAGTGATATTTCAGGTTCTCACGGCCGCGACTATGAAGACAGCCATCTTCATTGTTCTTTTTATGAATTGAAATTAAAATTATAAAATTGCGCGCCATAAATGACGGGAGACTATTTTTGGGCAGCCTTACATTGTTTCCTCTCAGAATATACGATGCTATAAATTATATAGCAGTCAACTAATTCATCCACTTCAGACTCAGTTATAACAACATTTGATCCTTTGACCCTTTAAAGCAAAGCAGGTAAAGTTCAGGATTACTAAATAATATATCAGGTGGTACATGCAGTTATCACCATGTTTTAAAGGATGCATTTAAGCATCTGAAGCGCGAAGTTCTTCTAAATATATTTAAAAATTCAGCTGATGCCTGAAAGTTGACACAACGCGTCTCCACTGTAAAAGTCAGACGGTTGATATTATTTAAGGAAAGAACTGTTTATTCTGAGATTCTTGAATTTCTGGCTGTATCAATTTATTAAAAGTAAAGTTACACGTAAACAATATAATTTTAATATTATAAAATAGGCCTATTGATTGAAAACTCATTTTTTAAAATTGTTCGTAAGTTTGTGACTTGTTTAATATCACTGTGCTTGAAAAGTAAATTATTAATCAATTTTCTTTTCATCATTACTTAAATAAGTAATTTGTTATATTCCGTCGTTAGTTAATGTAAAAAACGTCAGATTAATCTGTTTTTATGACGCACGTTTGTATAAACCTATATATTCTTTTAAGGAATTCAAAACTTATGACGATGAAGGTGGTAAAATCCTGAGTAGTAATTCTTATCAATAATTCAGTGTGCCAAAGTTTAACTTACCGAATAACACTGAGCTTCGCACTGCGCAAATGACATCAATTCCATCGTTGAATATGAGGTCTCAGTTTGTAGATTCTCTGCGCTGCTAATTATCACAAAAACGAACAATGTCTGACGCCACATATTTTATTGGCCTGTTCAACTAGCAAACTTTGTTAACTGATAACTAATGGACACCCTCACAGAATGAGAACCGAAAACTTTGTTTTTACTTTACTGGAAATTAAAAGTAATATTTGAGAATTATCAGGAATGTCGGTGAATGCCATCGAAAGTCCTTCCTGTGTAAAAAGTATAAACTGAAAAATAATAAGTGTTGTTTGAAGGTGATCGTAATAATAAGTTATAATTGTGATGTATATAGGCACAGACGCTTGTAAATGAACCAGCCACCACACAGCCAGCCTGTGTTGTTCACTGGCAGATTTCTTGTTGTGTCTCCAGTGTATATATACAGACACGTATATCGCGCGCGCGTGTTACGCGACAGTGTAAGGTGGGTGAGGCAGTTCATAGGTGTTCAAGTGAAACACCTTTCTGCATCGTTTGTACGCCGCCCCTCGTGTCCCGCAAGATCATATCTCAGTCACTAAATCAAACAAGAATTCTGGAAACGAAAATGTTTCGCTCCAGGAAATATATTAATGAAGGCCTTACTTAAAAATTGGAGGTTAGGAGTTTCGCCCCAACGCTTTGGGATGAAATGAAAGATTTCCTAATTTTGCTTTTTCTGGTCAAATTTAGCTACAAAATATGAATGTGGGGTTGAAAGAATATGGTTTGATTTAGTTAGCATTGTTTGGGTGTAACTCGGTTAAGGTAAATTAACTGTTCAAAACACTCTATTCCCAAATATTAATGGCAGATACGATATTGATACTATTATATTTTAATTTTGAAAGTTTACATAGATTGAATTTTTAGACTTTACAGTGAGGTATATTACAGGTACATATATGTTAATTTATTCTTAATATAATTTTTGTACTCTTTGACCTCGTAACATTCTTAACGCTACCTAATTTTAAATTCAGCTAAGCTAGAAGTTCTTGTTGTTAATATGAAATAGCTGTTTAACTTGCTCACTTGTTCATATTCAAGGTAGTGGTAAGTGAAGGAAAATTACGGTGGTCTGTATTATTATTATTATTATTATTATTTACTGTTAATTATGTTTAATAAATTAATGAATTAATATATTATCATTATTATATTGTACATTTATATATTTAGTTCATTGTTTGTTTGTCTTTATGTTGTTATATTTATTGTTAGTGCTTGGCTGTTTTGGCCTCCTTTGGCTGTTGCCAAGCACTCTAATAAATGAATTTAATTATTATTATAAAATATTGGACTTTTTTTATGACGGTGAGAACAATGTAAACAGTTGTCTTTCCTCTTATTTTTAATTTCTTGAGTAATATATTAACGAGATTTAGGATTTCAAATAAATAGTTCCGGTAGCCGATATGATCTAAAAGAACAAATTTTTGTTATATTGCTAAATTTTTCTTATCCAGAATATTATAATCTGTTCATTGACAGTGCAGACGACAACTTGCTTACAGAGAGACAAATATACATTTTGAAGATTTTTTGTACATCTTCATTAAATGTATTGAAACAAAAGCAAATATTAGAGAATATAAGATTTTAGGTTTTCACAGCAGTGTGAGTTTAGAGGGTGGGTTTCTGGGTAGTATAGAACACACGACGTCATAGATCAGAAGACCACCTTAAACCACCTTAAATGTAGGCCAGGAAGTTAACAAGCTTATATGTAAATAAGGATAAAATAACATGAGTTTAAGGCAGGCATGTGCTGGTTCGCCAAGGTCAATGGTCGGAAAACGAGGTATCAGGTGTGTATTGTTTATCATTTCAAAGCTAAGGGACTTGCTAAGTAAGGAACAACAGTAGTTGAAGAATAATCCCACTTGTCATCTGTTTGTCCCAGTATTTGCCAGAACTTTGTGGGATTTGAGGTTTTCACAGCAGTCACTTTGAAGATGGCTGTCGTCTGGGTTGTTGCGCTGTGTAGTCGTCTGGTAGAAGTTCACCAACGTTTCAGGGGTACTTGCTGCCTCCATCATCAGGGCGATGATGGAGGCAGCAAGCACCTCTGAAACGTCGGTAAAACTACCAGACTACTCGGTCCAACAACCCAGAAGATACCTACTTTCTTATTATGAAAGATTGCGTTGTTTATTCATATTATAGTCCCGTGATTATCGATATATCGATAAATGAATGTATATTCATCGATATTTTGATTCTGATATTTTCTGTGAAGATAACAAAGAGGTCGTATAATTACCCAGAAGTTAACAAGGGAATCGCTGGAACCCTTCGACTCCCCTTTGTCACACCCTTCTATCTTTTCAATTTATTCAAAATGATACGGAGTCAGCACATAGTTCTAACACCATTCTGTGTAGCGAAGAACGAAGAAGACGTGGCCAAATTGAAGGAAACATAAAAATAAGAATATAAACGAAATAATGACGAAGCAGAATATCTTACTAATGCAATTTTAAAGTGTTATTGTTGTTATTGTTATTGGTGGTTGTGGTGGTCAGTATTCATGATATCAGTTTACCATTTTCACTTACAGTAATATTAATCAGTTCCCTGCGTAGAATTGAATAGGCCGTGTTTTACTTATTGCTGCGGTGTCAGATACACTTCTGTTTTAATTCTGCCTCTCTTGTGTCTCGAACGCCACCGATGAACTCTAAACTGGAAGACTCGACACTCAGACACCTGTCACCCACCTGTGACTATTATTATGTGCAATGAACTTATTATCAGTGTAGTGTGTAGGCTAAATGTAATGTGATAAACGTATAGGTAGCTACTAAAGTTGCAAACATCTTGATGACAGTGACAACAAAACAGTTTACATTATTATTTTTGATATACAAAACATTTTAAAACACCACTATTTTGCCATAATCGGCAGAAAAGCGTTTTCTTATCTTTTGTAGGATAAATTTTATTTTTATTATATTTTTAATGGACGAATGATCTTATAAATTTTTAACGGATTATCTGTTATAATTTCGTGCCTATAAGACAACGTTTATGTAACAAACCGTGAAAGTAAGTCTGTGGATAGTCCGGTGATTACCGAAATGCTTATGTGATTTACACTCATTTTGTAATAAATGTCGTTGGTTTATTAAGTGAATTCTTATGTTTCAAACTACACGGTATTAATGTTTTTTTAATTC